TAGGTCTCTAAGGACTTGCTTTATGAATCTGGGTGCTCCTGTATTAGGTGCATATATACTTAGGATAGTTAGCTCTTCTTGTTGAATTGATCCCTTTACCATTATGTAATGGCCTTCTTTGTCTCTTTTGTTCTTTGTTGGTTTAAAGTCTGTTTTATCAGAGAGTAGATTGCAACCCCTGCTTTTTGTTGTTTTCCATTTGCTTGGTAGATCTTCCTCCATCCCTTTATTTTGAGCCTATGTGTGTCTCTGCACGTGAGATGGGTCTCCTGAATACAACAGACTGATAGGTCTTGACTCTTTATCCAATTTGCCAGTCTGTCTTTTAATTGGACCATTTAGCCCATTTACATTTAAGGTTAATATTGTTATGTGTGAATTTGATCCTTTCATTATGATGTTAGCTAGTTTCTTTGCTTGTTAGTTGGTGCAGTTTCTTCCTAGCATCAATGGTCTTTACAATTTGGCATGTTTTTGCAGTGGCTGGTACCAGTTGTTCCTTTCCATGTTTAGTGGTTCCTTCAGGAGTTCTTGTAAGGCAGGCCTGGTGGTGACAAAATCTCTCAGCATTTGCTTGTCTGTAAAGGATTTTATTTCTCCTTCACTTATGAAACTTAGTTTGGCTGGATATGAAATGCTGGGTTTAAAATTATTTTTCTTAAGAATGTTGAATATTGGCCCCCAGTCTCTTCTGGCTTGTAGAGTTTCTGCTGAGAGATCCGCTTTTAGTCTGTTGGGCTTCCCTTTGTGGGTAACCTGACCTTTCTCTCTGGCTGCCCTTAACATTTTTTCCTTCATTTCAACTTTGGTGAATCTGACAATTATGTGTCTTGGAGTTGCTCTTCTTGAGGAGTATCTTTGTGGCGTTCTCTGTATTTCCTGGAGTTGAATGCTGGCCTGCCTTGCTAGGTTGGGGAAGTTCTCCTGGATGATATCCTGAAGAGTGTTTTCCAACTTGGTTCCATTTTCCGCATCACTTTCAGGTACACCAATTAGACGTACATTTGGTCTTTTCACATAGTCCCATATTTTCTGGAGGCTTTGTTCATTTCTTTTTACTGTTTTTTCTCTAAACTTCTCTTCTTGCTTAATTTCATTCATTTGATCTTCAATCAGTGATACCCTTTCTTCCACTTGATCGAATTGGCTACTGAAGCTTGTGCATGCATCACATAGTTTTCATGCCATGGTTTTCAGCTCCATCAGGTCATTTAAGGTTTTCTCTATGCTGTTTATTCTAGTTAGCCATTTGTCTAATGTTTTTTCAAGGTTTTTAGCTTCTTTTCAATGGTTCAAACATCTTCCTTTAGCTCAGAGAAGTTTGTTATTACTGATCTTCTGAGGCCTACTTCTGTCAACTTGTCAGTCATTCTCCGTCCAGCTTTGTTCTGTTGCTGGCGAGGAGCTGCGTTCCTTTGGAGGAGAAGAGGTGCTGTGAGTTTTGGAATTTTCAGCTTTTCTGCTCTGGTTTCTCCCCATCTTTGTGGTTTTATCTACCTTTGGTCTTTGATGATGGTTAACTAGAGATGGGGTTTTGGTGTGGATGACCTCTATGTTTGTTAGTTTTCCTTCTAACAGTCAGGACCCTCAGCTGCAGGTCTGTTGGAGTTTGCTGGAGGTCCACTCCAGACCCTATTTGCCTGGGTATTACCAGCAGAGGCTGCAGAACAGCAAATATTGCAGAACAGCAAATGTTGCTGCCTGATCCTTCTTCTGGAAGCTTCGTCTCAGAGGGGCACCTGGCTGTATGAGGTGTCAGTCAGCCCCTACTGGGAGGTGTCTCCCAGTTAGGCTACTCAGGGGTCAGGGATCCACTTGAGGAGGCAGTCTGTCTGTTTTCAGATCTCAAAGTCCGTGCTGGGAGAACCACTATTCTCTTCAAAGCTGTCGGACAGGGACGTTTAAGTCTGCAGAAGTTTCTGCTGCCTTTTGTTCAGCTATGCCCTGCCCCCAGAGGTGGAGTCTGCAGAGGCAGGCAGGCCTCCTTGAGCTGTGGTGGGATCCACCCAGTTTGAGCTTCTGGGCTTCTTTGCTTACCTATTCAAGCCTCAGCAATGGCGGACGCCCCTCCCCAAGCCTTGCTGCCACCTTGCAGTTTGATCTTGGACTGCTGTGGTAGCAGTGAGCAAGGCTCCGTGGGTGTGGGACTCTGTGAGCCAGGCGCGGGATATAATGTCCTGGTGTGCCGTTTGCTGAGAGTGTTGGAAAAGGGCAGTATTAGGGTGGGAGTTTCCCAATTTTCCAGGTACCGTCTGTCACAGCTTCCCTTGACTAGGAAATGGAATTCCTCAACCCCTTGCACTTCCCAGGTAAGGTGATGCCCCGCCCTGCTTTGGTTTACCCTCCGTGGGCTGCACCCACTGTCCAACAAGCCTTAGTGAGATGAACCTGATACCTCAGTTGGAAATGCAGAAATCACCTCTCTTCTGCATCACTCATGCTGGGAGCTATAGACCGGAGCTGTTCCTATTTGGCCATTTTGGAACCCTTCCCTGTCTAATATTTCTTAAATTTCTGGCTCAACAGCCAACTGTGTATCCAGAATGACTACCACATTTGAGTATGGAGTAGATGTAGACTGAAGATTATCTCTGAGTAATCTTCACATAGAAGGACATAAAGCCTAAGAAACTATGCTCCTGCTAATAAAGTTTCAAGTGCCATAAAGCTGGGATTATCAAGAGTGATGATTACTGAAGCTCATTCCTTCATGGGTCTGAGGAAGGTTTGCTAATAACAAAAAAGTCTTAACTATACCTAGCATCTTTCTCCATAGCAGTGTGGCTACACATTTCCTGTTGGTGCTACAACAAATTACCATAAACTTAGTGGCTTAAAACAACATCAATTTATGATCTTACAGTACTGGAGGTCAGAAAAATGAAAAGGTTTCAATGGACCAAAACTAAGGTGTTAGAAAGTTTATGACCCCTCCCTCTGGAGGCTCCAGGGAAAAATCATTCCCTTGCCTTTTCTAGCTTTTAGAGTTGTATTACTTGGCTCAGGGTCTCTTCTACGATCTTCTATGACAGCAGCATAGCATCTTCAAGTCTCTCTCTGCTTCTACTATCACACTGTCTTCTTCTGCTGTCAGGTCTCCTTTGCCTCACTCCTATAAGGACACCTGTGATGATATTTAAGGTCAAACTGGATAATCCAGCATAATCTTCCATCTCAAGATCCTTAATGTAGCCATGTCTGCAAAGTCCTTTTCGTATATAAGGTAATATTCACAGGATCCAGGGGATCAAGATCTAGATATCTTTGAAGGCCAGTATTAAGCCTACTTCAGTGGTTAAGAATGTGGATTCTGGAACTAGAGTGCCTAAATTTGAACTTCAGCACCATCACTTACTGGTTGGGTAATCTTGGACAAATTACTTGACCTCATTTTTTCATCAGTTAAGTGGGCCTAATAACAGGGTCTACTTTATGGGGATTAAGTGAATTATGAGAGGATAATAGTAGCAGCTACCTCAGAGGGTTACTGAGAAATAACATGAGTTAGTACACATAAAGGTCTTAGAATAATGTCTTAGAATACAGTAAATGCTATGCAAGTACTGGTTATTATTAATATTTCTATCACCAAAGTACGATTTTATAATAATTATTATTATTGTTATTGCACCTTACACAATGTTGGGCACAATCTAAGGCCTACTCTCAATTGCTTGATAGCATCTTCTTTCAACCTAAGAAAGAATTTACTTCCTGCTTTCTGATGAGTGACGTTAGCTTAGTGTGATTAATCATTCTCTTCCTGTCTCTCGGATGCATGAATAAACCAAAAGCTTATACAGAGTCCTAAATGCAGTAGAAACTAAACTTTGGCAAACACAAATGACGCATTTTCAGTGCCTTTCCTAATCTGTGCACACGTATTCTGTGCACTTTTTTCAGGGCCATCTACTTTCTTTGCCGGATCTTTATTCAGTCTTTTTAGGAACAACTTCACTGCTTTTCTTTATAAAACAACCAATCAGGCATGTATTATTTAACAAGAAGCCAGCCTTTGTAATCCATGCACATTAAGAAGAAAATAAAGCAAAATAACTAAGTAACTTATTTTAAGAAGCATGAGACTTAAAAAGAACAACCAAAACATGTCATTGACATAAATATTGCTGGCAGGACACAACATGGTTAATGACTTAGATAGTTTAGCCCAGCCATGGAACTAATTGGTCAACAGTGAATGCCTAAATATAGGCCTTGTGCCTAAAAAATATCTCGCTACTTCCTTAAAATAGGATACTCTGGCCAAAACAGCCTTATTGAGAAGGCTAAAACAACTCTGGGAAAGTTCACCTCTGCTGGGCGTAAAGCCTGGGATTGCAAAAAATGCAATTATTTAGTGAAACAGTTACACTGGAAATATATTCAAAATTTTTATTTTATAAGCAATGATTTGGGGATTAATTAAAAAACACGTGGGCTGCTGAAATGCATGCAGGAACAGTGCCAATCACCAATTCAGCAATAGTTCTCTTAGGCAGTGGCAACCTAATCCAGACAAAAGATAAGCTAATTTTAAAAATGGTAATTTACCATGTCCTTATATAAAATAATATATTTTTGACAAAGACAGAGACTCACTAATTTTAATGTATCTGGCTACACTACAGACAAAGTTTACAAAAAAACCACAGTAATTTAAAAACCAGATATTAAACCACTTAAAGACTCCATCATGGCTTCAGTGCTAAGAGCTGAAAAAAAAAGGCGGGAGGAGCACCACCAGCAAAACCCAGCCTGGACCGTGAGCAGCAGACCTCAGGAAGGCAGAGGCCACATATCACTATTCAGCTGCACCAACGCCGCGGGAAAGCTAGACTGGCTACATTCAGCACAGCCGTTCTATCAGCAATTGTAAAGTTCACCCTGAGGAAATAGGATTTGTGACCAGCAAATATTTTGTCCCTCTTTTTAATTGTCATTTGACTTAAAGATAAGTAGGGTGTTCAGAATATGAAATATATGGAGGTCGCTCTACTTACAAACAGGCTGAATTCCAAAAGGCTGTTAAATCCATTAGTTTAAACGTCCAAAACCATGTGTGAGATTTAGTTTTATGGGGTCAGTATTTCCTCCTAGTTGAATATTTTGGGCATTTTAAAAACTGCCCTGTTTGTTTATAATGAATATCTGCTGAGGCAGGCAACCCCTCCCTGACACAATCTTCACCAACAGGAGAAGGGAGGTAACCTCTGGCAGCTAAGGAATCCCTATCAGAGCTTCACCTGCAGATTAGAAAAGGCCTTGAACCCATGGTGCCAGCTGTGGTTTTTGGTAAGTTTCCACAGCAGCACTTTAATTCACCATGCTTAAAGTTCTTGAAATCCTAACCTTCACCTTTGACTAAACAGGCATTCCACTTTAACCACAATCCTCTGCCAAAACCGTTTCAGTCAGTCACATGTCTTCACCTCTGGCTGACTGTCAACTGCATGGGTACATCTTTTGTCACACATCATGGACTGTCCGTCATAATCATTCTTATCTTCCAATGATATATCTAATCAGTGTAAGTTTCTCACTTTCACATTTTTACACAATTTCTACTTTTGTGCCCATTAATCTATCACTAGCATTGCTTTCAGGGACAAAAATGGGATTTGTAATACAGAATGCCTCAAAACAATGCACTACAACAAACATGCTATAAATAATAATAATGGCCGAGTTGAAAATATTCCTCTGTTGGTGACCAGCACAGCTAAATCCCTTGCTCTGGAGTATACTTTGTCCCTATCCATAAAGTTCGTAAGTTACAAGTTTTAAGCAGAAGAGTTTCAAAGGATTTATGAGAAAGTTAATCTACCATGCAAAGACTTTCTGTCCTATAGATTTATACCCCAAAATCATAATATTTTTGGATTATAGAATAAAAGAACACCAAACTCTTAAAGAAATTGCATAAGCAACTGAATAAGCAATATCAACATGTTTTCAAACTATACTTCTGGACAGGAATTCTATCTTTTGCTTGATGTCGCAGAGTGACATTATCAAAGGACATAGGAGATATATAAAAATGCTTAATACAGCATTGGTTAATATTTATACATCCCTAGTTTTATGCTTTGTCCCATCATCCATTTGTTTTCAAATTCACTGTTTCTATGAAAGGTCATGATTGGCTTAGAAATCTGAATAACAAAGCAAATTATTATTTGCCAGTCAAAAATAATTTAGCAATGGTCATATGTAGTTTAGTCAAAGGAAATAAGATAGCTCAATAATACTAAAAGGAAACCTCAAACAGGTAGACTTCAGTCTCACATTTCATAACGCATTCTTGATTTCTTTCTTTTTTTTAAATTTGAGACAGGGTCTCACTCTGTTGCCCAGGTTGGAGTGCAGTGGCATGATCTCCACTCACTGCAACACTCGCCTCCTGGGTTCAAGGGATCCTCCCACCTCAGCCTTCCAAGTAGCCTGGACTACAGGCACCTGCCACCATGCTCAGCCAATTTTTGTATGTCTTTGTAGAGATGGGGTTATACCATGTTGTCCAGGCTGATCTCGAACTCCTAAACTCAAGTGATCTGCCTGCCTTGGTCTCCCAAAATGCTGGGTTTACAGGCATGAGCTACCATGCCTGGCCTTAATTTATTTCTTTAAAAGAAAGAGCAACTTGACATAAACTCTACCTGAAATTCTGTAGTCTCTTAAGTGAGCAATATCTTCTCTCTGCCATTTGGCATAAAAGCTACTCAATGCTATATAATAATATTCAAATCTAACATTGCAAAAGCCTTTTCAAGATAGGTTTTCTTATAACTTTTCAAGAATGGAGACTGAGTTTAGTAGGCATTATTCAAATATTTGAAAGTCAGATTAATGGAGAAAATAAGTGTTACTTAAAGGGTTATTTTTACCAAATCATACCTAGCAAAGTACACATTTTATTATCTTAACATCTGACAACAGTGCTTCTTATAGGAAAGAAATACTTTTTGTTTGGGAAAAGACTTGGAAAAGTCTCTTAAGGTAGAAGGTAAGGTTTCATAGCATCAAAAAGAAGGCTAAAAACTGCTCTGCACAAGACAGGGAAATAACTTTTTTCTTTCTCCTAAAAGGGAGAGGGAAGAGCGAGAGGTCTCATGGAGATGGCAGGAGCTCAGAGAGAAGATCAGGAATCTGCAGAAATCACAGGGAGGGTGTTGGCTTCCCCATATGAAACCTTCACATGCAACTGAAGGTTTACGGCAACTATTTCACTCTTGAAGGGTCTGGACACTCAGCTGACTCTTGGGTTAGACATATTAAAATATTACTTCACAAGGGCAGTTGCTGTCAATAATTTATATTCCAGGATATTAATAAAATATCATAGTTACTATATTTTTTATTATTTTCAACAGAAAATTATGTCCTTTTGACTAAAGTAATGATTGAAAAAGAAAAAAAAAAGTATAGGTCTTCAAAATGAGTAATGCAGAGTAAATGGCATTACAGAGTTCATGGATTTCCTGTTCTCTTAACCAAAAATGGGGGAAAACATCTCAAGCAGAGGCATTTTATACAATAGAATCTGTGGGTACTAAAACATGTACTATACTTCTAGAACCAAATAAATCCTTCCTGAACAAGTCAGAAAGAATTTTCTTTCAATGATAACTGGCAAAATTTAGGCACTAGTTTCAATAAAAAGATACCATTGACCGAAAACCTGGAAATACTTAACAGAAGATTAGAAACAGACTGAATAGATAACAATTGTGCTAACAGATTTAAGAATATTTCTGTATAATCTGCTCTTCAGAATTTATCCTCGAATAGCTAGGAAGACCCCTTGAAACAGCACTTTCACATAGCAATAAGGAAAACACAAATTTTAAAAACAGCAACAAGTCAAGAAGAGGTAGAAAATCTATGGCCTTATTTCTCTTTGTCCTCTCTAACAACAAAACACAAATTTGCTTTTGGTGGCTTAAGATGATTCTAAATCCTTCAGTTATTTAAAAATTATAGTCCTTAATGCCTTCAGAAACAGAAGTCCCCATACGATCAGTGTCAAAAGGAAAACTATAGGCAATATAGCTCTTCAAGTCAACGAAGTAATCAGTGGCACCAGGACATACAATCTTACATGACCAGAACAGAGGGTAACTTAAAATGGCGGTGAGTGATGGTCAGGATGGAGGAATATTATAAACACATATAATTCTAGATTTATTCTAGAATTATCTGCATATTAAAGACATAACCATTTTAGTAATGTAATTTTACTAGGCTACAGACTTTCTAATTATAGTATGTTTAGACATAAGACTCATTGTTCTTCAAAACCAGTTGCCACAAACAACTCAAGGGCTTTGAAGATAAGGTTACTTTTTGAGGGAGAATTGACATTCAACAGATGCCTTTGGTTTGCCCACGAAATTCAGGGCAAATAAGAACAGGTAAATATTTTGAGATATGGCTGCTGGCTATCTGCAACCCAGGAGGTTATTAGATTCAGAGCTTGAAGGCTATAGTAAATAGGAGGCTGTGGAAATCGGGGAACTCTCTTCCTCCACGTGCCTTTAACAGCAAGTATCCCCAGTTCTTCAGGATTCTCTCATGGGCCCTCTCTCTCTCCTTTCTCTCCTCTGGAATCTCACCTACTTCAAAGACCTCAATTTCCAACTACACTTACTTTCCAAGTCTCTATCTTCAACCCAAATTGGCATTTTGTGACTTTATACTGGAAATCTCAGTATCAATTTACAATCATTACCATAAATTCACCACATTCTAAACTGAACTCATTTTTCCCTCTCCCATTAAATGTTTTTCTTTTTCTGCTTCACTAACTAGTTGATATCACCAATTCACCTGATCAGCAGAGCCAAAAATCTAAGCATTATCCTTCCTTTCCTCAATACCTGCTTTCTATATAGTCACCAGTTCTGTCAATTTATTCTTCAAGCCTATTGCTATGGCTCTAGTTTAATCCTTCTCTGTCCCTGGCTACAGTTTCCTGCCGTGTCCTTCAGTCTTAACCCTCTCTACTCTGAGCTAATGTGGCTCTAAGAACGCTTACTGCTATTCTGCACACCCTCCCCACTCTCAGCATACCAGTCCTTATGCTTCAAATGTCCTCTACCTGTAAATACACACACAAACCTAGCAACTTGGTTTTTCATGCAGACTTTCTTATAAGGGAACAATATACTAACTCTATGGGGACCAAAATATGTAGTCCACTTGGCAGCTGTACTGTATATTAAGACCACACATCCTGGCTTATTTATCATTCTTTAATGTGTTTTATTAGTGTATCATTTTCTCAGGGCCTTATCAACTCAGTACAGCGAGAAAACTTCAGTTTCCAGACCTACACAACTGAAGAGGAGATACCACTGCCCTGTGAAACTTTTCCTGAGCAAAAGGAACCAGCTCTTTGACACTGAAAGCAAAAATCTAAACATTTTAGTGAAATTCATGACTTTACTGAACAATAAAACAAATGAAACTAGCACTCAGAAGGTTTCTAAGACGAGCCAATAATGGTAAATAATTTATGATAAAGACACAAGAGCCTTCTGTGTTTCAAATGAAATGCATATGATAAAGAAATATGTTCTCAATTCTGTTGCGAATCAATCTTCCCTAATAATAATAGTTAGCTGATAGTACTTACTAGGTGCCAGGCATCATGTTAAACGCTTTCTGTGTATGATCACCTCCTTTAATCCTCACAATTCCATGAGGTGAATGCTATTACTGTCATCATTTTACAGACAAGAAAATTAAGGCTTAGAGGTTAATTACTTGTCCATATCAAGAGCCAGGAATCGAACCCAACTATGTTTTTCCAAAGCAGGGCCTTCACCCTCTGAGCTTTACTAGCAAGGGACTGGAGTGTGAGGATAGGGAGTGTGTGTGTAGTTTGCAAAAGTCTCAGATAATTCTACCACAATCCTATGTCTCTACTCCACTTTTTAAAAACACTTAGTGGTTACTAAATAAAGAAGAAGAAGAAAAAAACCAAGTAATCTGCTCCCCTTAACCATTTGTTCTTGAGCGATTTATATTTGCTTTTAGAAATGACTTATCTGGTTCCAAAGTTGGGTGTATTTACAAGAAGGCAGAATAATCTGTGTGTGTGCTGTATGTACATCACATGATTCTTAATAAGACAACTCCAAATCTGACTTTGGTTCTGTTTTTAAGTGGGTAATTCTACGATACCAAGAAAATAATATAGATGTATTACCATAAATTGGGAATCATTCTGTTACTTGTTTTGACCTGCTAAAAGCAGTAAATGGAACATAGATAAAAAATAAATCTCTATTCCAATAAATTAAGTCTACCGCTATCGTAGCATCTTGCAAATGACAGGCATTCAATAAATATCTGTTAAATGAATGAATCAGGCGGTAGTCAAATTACATCCTTGTAGTCTATAGTAGGGAGGAACATGAACTACATAAGAACATGAGACTGTTAGAATACATGGAAATGGAAAGCTTTCTTAGCCTAATTTACAAAAGTCTACACAGGTCTCTCATGGGTTTCAGTAAAGGTATGTGTACGTGCAGGGCTATACTAACTAAGCCCATTGGTTACTTTGAAGGTGCAAACATTCCCTAGAGATGGGACTGACAACATGGTGGCAAAAATACCACAAAATCTTTAACACTTTTCTTTTTTTGCTTTTGTCGGTTTTCCATAGTTTTCTTATTTTAAAAAAACATTGATGGTAAGATGTTTTCCTCCTGAAGTTAATATATGATAACGAGGAAAGTCCAATAAACTGCCATGGGAGGAAAAAAAAAGTCCTTAGATAGGCTGGGCAGAAAATAATTTGATGACTCAGCATCATTACTAAGAATAGCAATTACTGTATTATAATATAATGACTACAGTGATATCCTCCAGGATTATAAACTTTTAAAGAGCCTTTTCTGGGTGATGTAGCCAAGATGGCAAAATAGAAAATGACCCGCTTTTATCTGTCCCCCAACAAGCCTGCACCCACCCACAGTTAAAGAGCTCTTTCTCCGGGTACTAAATAATCCCAAATTGCTAATTTTTTAAAAGATTTTAAGCCCATTTCTAATTTTGTTTCCTCCCTCACTGTGAGGCTATCAACTATTACACTTTACTGTTGCTAGCTTGCCTCTCCCCTTTCTAACTTGCTGTTGGCTGAGAAACCAGATAACCAGGTTATCAGAACACCCATAAGGTGCCTGTTTGACTGAACTCCAGGACCTGTTTTTCTGCCCTTGGCTGGGTTCCCAAGTACTGCTTTTTTTCATCCCTCCAGCACCAGCGATTCAGCTGGCTTTCTATTCCTCCTTTGGCACTGTCGGCAAGTGCTTTTCTCACCTGGTATTCTTTTACCTAGCCTAG